AGCCAATCATCTTTTGCCCTGGGAAGGCTTTCAACAGCTCTGCCTTTTTTTTCTTCGTCTTTCTCAGTTTTCTAGTTAGTTCGTGTTCTTTAAAAAGCAAATAAATTCTTCGCTCACCATCTCATGAAAATTTGACTGATTCTCATCAAGGTCCATCGTGTCTTGCAGACGTCATGGATATGCTCTTTTATCAGCTGCTTACTTTAATGCTCAAGACTGATCCTCTTGGCGATTGAATCTTCAGCGTTAAGGTCAACTTTGGGTGTACTCTGGCTAGACATGTCTGCGACATGTGGTTGATCGCTCAGCCTAGCCACTAGAATGGAAAACGTCCGGAAGAGTCGAGTGTGCTACTATCATATCACTTGTCTTTTCTCCAGTGCTACAGGAGTCCATGATTGGAGTAGGTCTATGTATTCGACTTCCATGAATATGGATGATGGTTTAGTCCCTGTCTTGGACGACGTTGAATATGTAAAAGGAACATATTGATACTGAACGGCAAAGGAGGAACACACGAGGCCATGGAAGGCGGATTTTTCAAGTCGATGGTTGATGTTAGCTTGTCTAAATAAAGAAAATATTGGGCACTGGAGTAGGAGTAGGCACTGGTTTGAGGATCCTGTACCTGGCTTGATTCCTGTCAGCGGACGAATCGCGCTTTTAGTATAGCAATAAATCATGAATAAACCGAGTTCTGTATCATCTGTGAATACGTCCAAAGTGCCTCGCACATTTGAGTCATGAACAGTGATGGGTATCTACTGATCATGTCAAAAAAGGAAAAAGAAAAGCTCGACATTGGTGGCGCCTACATTGATATTGCCGTGCCATGATGCCAGTCGCCGCCCTGGATCGAAATGTAACCGAAACACTGCATACCCTGCAGATAGCCGGGCTGTATCTGCAGCAACGCACGCGAGCAATGACTGGACCAAGCAAGTCTAGGCAAAAAAAAACAAAAAAAGACCCCAGTGGGTAATCATCGTGTTTGGCATTATACAGATTGGTTGCAAAGCACATGCTACGTATCATGATTGACGCGGATATATATCCATGTGGCAAGAACACAAGTATTTCCATAGTCGAAATGGGTATTGTGCACTGAAAGCTAAAGAAAGCAACACAGTTCAATATCGCAACCGAGCGGAACTGCTTTCATTCATGATTGATTCGTGCAACCCCAACATTCGGAAATTGTCCGCTCGCCTCTAGTCGTTGCACAAGCCTGCCTGCCGTTCGCAGCAGCAGGCGTCTCGAGAGTTAAATTTTGATGATTGTGCGGAAAAGTCAATATGTGAAGCAACCCCAAGGTACGGATGGACGGGTTGAGATCGACAAATGTGAATTGGTGAGGGGAATATTTCCCGATAATCTCGGTTCGCAGCGTTAGAGTTTGAGATTGACAGCTTCCGCGGGTCTCCCAATTGATTTCTTATTTCCATTTTATTCACTTGGTTGCATTTTCCTTCTCCTCCGGAATTGCTGTGCAGCCTCTTCATACGTGCAGCCGTAATAATGCCGTAAGTAGTCATATCTGTTGTTCGTCTGGATTGCATGTCGAGGTCTTGAGGGTGCAGTTTACACAGGCTGATATTGCATCAATATTTGGGATCCGAGAGCATACGCCTACCTGCTTGATACCTCTTGCATGTATAGCAGTAAGGCAATCCAATCAGTGCCACGGGTCCGCAATGTAACAATTGTCAATGTGCTGACTTGCATTGGCAGGAGGAATAGTGAAGGAAATGGCTGTAATCAATCTCGGAAGTCCTGGAGGGTGGAATGCCAGGCAGGTGCCGAGTAGGTTTATCTGCGTGACGCGTCGATGGGCTATGCGCCTCGTCACAAGGTTATTCACTTCAGTTCTGTCCGAACCACGTTTTTTTCAAGTCTCATGGGGGCGGGCAGTACTGGCAGCATGGTTGGAAAGCATCTGATAACCCCGCGTTTGGTGATGGATGGGACGAATGAGCGTTTTCATGGGCAATGCAAGACTCTCAGATCAGACAAGAATAGAGAGAGTTCAATGGGAGGAGTCGTGCCCACACGCGCACCCGCGGGCGCTGGGTAGGTTCTTATAATAAGCGTTTTTTTACTTTGCACATGTCGAACCAATGCAAGCAGCACTTTTGTCTTTCTGGCGGTGAAATAATCGCGACATAAACTTGCATAGGCGAGCATGGTTCTCCTATTATTGCGTGGATCGCCAATTCCAATAGTTTTGGGGTATATGAACACCATCTGGTCGATGCGCAGTTTAGGCGGTGGAGGAACTCCATGATTCAGAAGCCCTCGGCCCCTTGGCCCCTTGCAAGTTGGCCTTCGAGAAGCGTTCGTTTTTTTCTTCTGTGCATTCAACCCGACCGCTCTGTGGCCATGGCGGCATGACGAGATTTTTTTCTCCCCTTCACATTCTGCCGGTCTCATCCTTTTCTCTGGACGGGAAGGTTGTCATGATTCTGAGACGGTCCGTGATTGGGTGTCAATGGCCCGGGTCTCATCTTGCGATCTTCCATTCGGGGCAAGTTGACATGTTTCAAACAGAGAACAGTCCTGGCTGCAAACAGTTGGAAAAGAGACACGCCCTGAAAGAAGCTCGTCTGTGCCAAGCGGATTGAGCGGGGTGGACATGCCTTTGAATGCCTCGGCCGGGCCTGTTGGCAACGGACCTGTAGGCTGTTGCTAGGGTTGCTGGGCCAGCAGAGAAGTTTGAAGAAACTCTAGATCCCAGCAGAGTTCATTATCGCTGGAGACGAACGTACTGGCGCAAAATTTAGTACGACCTAGAATGGAGACAGGTTCACTGCAGCAAGACCCGCGTCTCTATTGACATTTCTGATGGATACCGTCCAAGCCGATCCCAATACCTTTGCATATATTCCCGCATACTAGAAACCAACCAGGTGCCATCTAATGGTATGCGACGAGACTTGATACGGGAGAGTGCCCAAATGAATGTCATTATACTCTGAGAATAATAGGCTTGTTGGGCAGCATCAATGTGATTTTTATTAGAGAGAGACACACTCAATTAGAATTTCAGTTGACTAGTCCCGATTGTTCCCCAGACGATATCTCCAGATCTTCATTGGTGGCTTGCAGCCTGCAGCTGGTTTGGACGTACCTTTCGCTTAGGGCCAACCCAAAAGCCTCGCAGACTCTCACTATCTCTTGGCCAATTGGCCTGGCTCCGAGGTGTTTCTCTCTGATGGCTTGTTCCCACCGCCAATAGTGGGCGGGCCGGACCCATGGTGTTCTTGATTGGACACTGGCCGGCCAACGTTTCCCCTCATCCCGAAGGAAGCTCACTGATCCGCCTGTGATCAATGTTCAAAACGATTGACCCCAGTCGACTTCTTATCCAACCACATGAATCAACTGGACTGACTGGGACAGGTGAGAGGGAACGGTCACCGTCAGACTGAACTGCTGATGAAAGAGGCACAGATCTTGTTATTGTTGGCCACTAATAAAACAATTCCAGAAAACAAAACTAATGGAATAATCCCCAATATTCATCAGCAATCAGGGAATGAAATGCTGCTGCGCCTTCTTTTCGCCTCTCGCCCCCCCTCTGCCCCTCATTCCCATCTCAATCTCAACGGCGCCCGCCGCTGAAAGCTGAAAAGTACGTAGAAAAGCGAGAAGAGAGAGAGGGAGGGAGGGGCAAATGAGGCTGAACCTTGGACTTGTCATCCTTCCAGGCGACATTGCGCAGCATCAACGTACGTACTGTAAGTACCATGTGCAAGGTAGGCAAGTTGGGATATTGGAGTGCGTGCGTGTGTTAAACTGCCACATGTCCGTCGGTGGTTGACATGCGAAGTCAGTTTTGTTTTTCTTGCGTGCGCATTGTCTAGATGTGTGTTGCATGTATGTACCATGTGTATGATGTGCTAGACTATTATAGCTTTGTCTCTATCTCTCTGCCTTGGTTATTGATTGATCTCATAATACCTTGCTACTACCTAGACACGGAATAACTTGATTTTTTTTTGGATCTATCTGACTACTGCTTTTACTACCTACCTTGGTTCGCTGGCCGGACAAAGACGTGGTGAGACTCGGAAGTGAAGGAAATAGATCCATCTAATCTAGGCCCGTCTTATGTCGTGCGTGCTGTGCCTCCTCATCGCACCCAGAACAGAAGACGACCGGAAGCCATAACTCGTGAGCCCCGGTCTGGCTGGCGCACTTTTTTTCTTTTAACCCCATTCCCATTCTTGTCAGACGGTCGAACCCCCGTTTCGTTATCGTCGTCGGTTTCCCCTCTTCTTTGCATTTCCCACTTTGGTCCCTCTCTCTCACTCACTCGCTCACACACACACACACACTCGCTCGCCCGCTCGTTGGCTCACAAAATAAAACCACAAAAAAACCGCTAGACACCGCCATACCTCCGCCTCCCGGGGGCATTCGTAATCTCCCCATCACCACCTGCCAACTCCACACCTGCCGCGCTCCCGATCGCTAGCTGCCCCAAACTCGGCCTGGTCAATAGACTTGCTTCGATCATTGTCAATCTCTCGCCGTTCCCCCTGGCGTCTAGAATGTGATCGTACCTGTCGCGACTCCCTGTCCTGTCCTTTTTCCCTCGGTGTGATCACCATACACCGCTAATAAAGGTCCCCTTTTTCAATCGTGTAGAATCGATCGGGATCTCGGGGCTCCCAAACCGAAGTCCGAATAGAAAGAGGGAGGACCCGTCTCATCTACTTACCCTGCTCGCTTGCTGTCATCCCCAGATTTGTGTTTCCAATGTCTATGTCTAGGTGATACAGGACGGCCATCACGAGCCTGTTCATCCTTCTCTATTCCCTTTACCCCCCCTCCCCAATCTTTCCAAATCTTTCCGCCAGCAAGAATATCGAATATCGAAAGACAAAGGAAAAACACAAATACGTTACTAGGACCCCGGCGAGTGATTTAAGTGATTATTTTATATACTACGACCATTTATTGGCCCTGGTGGTTATGAAGTCTGGTCACGACCAAATATGACGTCCTTTCAACCTCTCGGCGCGCTGAGGTCGTTGTCGAATGATAGTGAAAAATTTGGAAAGTCAAAACACAAGGTTGTCAAGCCTATACTCAAAAAGCTGTCGCATTCGGAAAAGAACTCGATAGACCTGGATCGAGGATGGGACGAGCAGGAGGTGCCATATCGGAGCGATCCATGGGGAGCAGGTGACTACGAGGCGGGAGGAAGAACGTCCAAGGACATAAGTTTTGGCTACTCTGAGGCATCAGTGGTTGGTGTGAGCGGCGGACGACGCAGCTATCACCACTCGCGGTCCATCAGCGGCAACAGTTATGTTTCGGTTGCGACGTCGGGCAGCGGGAGCGCCCTGGGACTTGGAATTGGCTCTCGCACTGGCACGACGTTTGTGCACCCATTCCAGCAGACGCCGCGCACTGCGACCCCTCCTCTGTCGTACGCAAACTCGCTGGTCTCGTTTTCTGCCGACCGTGACTGCTCGCCAACGATTACAGAGGACGATGACAGCTACAGCGTCAACAATCAACCCGCCGCCAGCAATATTAGCTTGCGCAACCAGAAAAACAGCACCAGCAATAGTACTGCTGCTACCCCTACCACCACTACTACTACCACCACCACTGGTAGCAGCAGCAACAACGACAGCACCAGCAAAAGCAAATCGAGGAGTAGCACAAACAGCAATGGCAGCTACCAATCTGCCACCCACCAACAATCTCGCCCCTCTCTGACAAACCCAAGCACTCAATCACAACCAAGCCTCAGCGACTCCAGCGCCCGCCCCAGCCGACCATCGCTGCACAGTCAGCGAACCTCCTCCTACACCGATACGCCCAAGTCGCAAACGTCACTGCGCATCAGTACGGGCATACGATCCGCATCGACAACACCGGCACAATCCTCGCGCCTCGCCAATGTATCCAGCCGCTCCGACCTCCAATCGTATCTTGCAGAGGAGTCTTCGAGCTCTTCGACAACACGCGCGCCAACCCTCCGTTCCGTTGCATCCCCGACCAGCCCGATAGCCTCCATGTCGCCCTTTTCGAGAACCTCGCTGGACGGCTTCCCTCGCCTGCGGGCCAAGTCCGACCTCGACACAGCAACTCGGGCAGATCACGTCCGCGAGGCACGCAAGAAGATACAGGCCAAGCAAATGGCCAAGGAGGAAAAGTACGCACGCCAGGAGATTAAGCAGCGAGAGCGTGCCGATAACAAGCGTGCTCAAGAAGCAGAGAAGCGAGCAGCTGCTCTCCAAAAGGAGAGAGAGGCGGCCAAGCGGCAAGAGGAGATTGCTGCGCTGGCAGAGGCCATGCCGCAAAAGACCAAGCACAACAGAAAGATTAGCAACAATAGCAGCGGACGACCGAGTACGTCGCAAAGACGACAGACTTTTGAGTCGGAAAAGGGCACGCGCAATAACTATAGCGCTACCGAGACAAACAGTACAGCTGCTTTTGACGACGAGACTGGAAATGCTCGCCACGTCTCATTCCAGTCGACCAGACGCTCCAATACCGCCAAGCGGAAAACCCACGGTGCCTGGACTGCTTTCATTCTCTGGCTTAGAACCCGGCTTCTTCGCATGAGCAACTAGGCTTCACTACATGTCCGTTGCATTGGTGACAAGCAGCACCGCAAAAGGTTGCTCCGCTGGGCCTTTACAGGCCGTTGTTGGTATAGCTGCGATCTCTTTTATGAATCTCGAGTTCGCTCCAGAGCAAGACAGGTGCGCACATGGCTTGGGATTCGCCATGATTCAACAGAAGACCCAAGGACTCACTAGAGTTGAGTTCGGGGCGGTGATTCCAGATCACTCGCACAACAAATCATGTTTTGGGTCCTTTTTTTTCATTCTCATAGCGAGCTGGCTTTTTCAACCTCCCACGGCACGACTTTCACGACATTTGCATACCAAGCATCGTTATTTCTGCATTTTTCTTGCCAAAACCAGCATACCCAGCCGGCTTCTTTTTCACGACTTTCTTTCACGACAAACAGCATGCACAAAGAAACCAATCAAGGTTTCCAAAGGGTCAAAGGGGTTCATCGGCGTTTTTGTTCTTCCTCAGGCGCAACATGGTCACAGGAGGGAGCATTCGGCTTTTATTTAGAAAACAGGACTGGACCATAAGGCCTTGCAATAGGCCCTTCCCGCGCTCTCCCCAACTTTGGCAACTACACTTTTTTTTCAGGGAATTATTTGATTCCTTTGCGACATGATCCATCCAGCCAAGGAGAGGGAGAGAGGGAAACTATACTAGGGAAAGAAAGGGCGCACATTCGGCAAAGCAAAGTGTTTTTGTTTTCTGGATTGGGGTCGTGTCAGGCATATGCGTGCTTTTTGTATGGCTTGTGCAAAATTCAAGCCACGATGACTCTTTACGTAGTTGCAGCTGGTTATATAAACAAGACAATGCAAATGCTTTTCGAGTCACAAAAATTCTCAAGTAACAATCTTTTTTGTTTGTTTGTTTGTGACTGTTACTTTGTTATGATATTTACCGTGACGTACCGGGGCCCCTCGTATTTAATCTGTTTTGAGCAACTGGTAGTGTGACCACTAAAAGGACGGTGAAAGCCACCAATCCCCCGACAGTATGATGGTTCTTTGGCGCATGACCACCATAGTAGAAAAGCAATATGATCACGCACAAGCTCTAGGAATGCAGTGTTGGAACATGATAATCAATGAGACGGTAGCACACGGACATTGCTGGCAGACGGACATTGCTGGCAGCATCATGATGATTTTAGTTTCTCTTCCGCTGACAATGCGCATTTGGCAGGCGTGCAAGTCTGTTGCTGTGATTTGATAGTAGGCGGACAACGGGCTATTTCGCCAGACGGATAAAGAACCAGTATCATTAATGGCAAAGTTGGTCATTTGCAACTTCATCTCGAGGTCGACGACGTACGTATCTACTCAAAAGCAAGAAAGCAAGAGAGCATCTAGAATTCATGACGCAATATCCCACGTTCTGGTAAAAAAAAAAATCCACTTCCAACTTTTGAAACTGTCGTTTTAGGCTACAAAGCCCATTTATCTGCCCTGGTGATTTGGGCATCTCGGCTGCGCCAAATACATGCCAACCGGCGGCCAGTAAGGGGCACGTCGGTACAACTCTGCCATGCTGTGAAAGGGGATCTACCCATATTTAAGTAGGAAACACATGTCGGTTTCTTACAAGCCACATGACATTCCCATCATCAGAGACACTGGAGAAGCGCGACGCTCTGTCCGGCTCATTCGGCCGATGCCCTGTCAAGTGAGACAGATGCGGCTAGCACTCTAGAGGGAATTGGTCTCCGCCAAGATCGCCAGGGGCGCATCCAGTGAGCGTCCGGCGCTATGGTTAATGGGTGGGGGGACACTCGAGTACCGAGTATATTGAACCCTTTTCCTTTATTTTGTATTCAGTATAATCGCTTGATATTGTATTTGCGCTCAAGAAAATATATGCCCCTTCTCTAGATGTGCGCCAGGTGTCAAGTTTTGCAGTTGTTTCTGGATTAAATGGCTTTCCCAATCGAGAATGCGCGTCCGCCCTGTTCCCAATTGTCTTTCTCATATGCGCCCAATTTGATATCGATGAGATGCGCCCAGGCTCGGCCAAGACGCCGTGCCCGTCGTAGCCTCTCGGCATCGAGGCTATGTTATGCTCTTTTTTTGCCCTGGCACCAAGGTTGCAAGGACACCTGGGGTCGGAGCGCGAATCATTGCCCAGCACAAGTCTTTTCTTTCCCTTTGTTTTCTCATCCCTCCGCTGTCTGCCAAGGCTGACTTAATGTACCCGAGTTCATCCCAATCAACCATTCAGCATTTAGAATTCAGCTGGCCTGCCCACAATTCATTCACATGGAAGCTCTTTATTCGCCTCTCACCCCAGGACAACCAAGTCGACATTAATGGGTCTTGTCTCCTTATTTTAACCATAACAATATGCTTGGCGTACCCATTCTCCCGTACTTTGTCGCTCAGATCTTCTGGGGGAGGAGACGGCGCCCCCCAGTTGTTTTTCTTGGGGGGTCGGTACAGTACCGCAGCTGATAAAGTAGGTAGACAGTCAAGACTCTTGGCTCAGGGATGATGAGACGGCCAACTGCTTGTTTCTGGGTGATTATTGTGTAATGCGAGGGACGATCGATCCCAAGAAGCGCCGGGCTCTTGTAGTGTAGCCCTATGGTTGGTGTTTCTTTGTTCTGATTCTTTCCTTTCGTCGTCATTCTCTCCTTCCTTTCTCTTTTGCCATTTTTTTGCTCCAAACTGCCATCCGGGTCCAACAACCCACACCTAAAAGCCTCTGTATTTGACTTTTGCGCTCGGTTTTTCACAGCCAGGCCCTGTGACTCGGCGGATTTTCTTGTCCTTCGCTTTATTCTATTTTTCAAGAGTGGTTTCTGCTTCTCCCAGTCAAAGTGGGAAAGGTGCACCCCAACTCAGCAAATATGGTGAGGTTATCATCACGGTCGCTACTGGCGGGCCTCGGCCTAGCGGCGCAATATACTAGAGCGGCCTTGACCGTCGACCTCAGCTCACCAGGTTCGTTTTGATTCATATTACCATGACGCTATTGCTGCTAGTCGCATCTCATCTAACTTTCTCATTTTCCGCTCCATTTTAGATTCAATCAAACAAGCCGCATCACAAGTCGCAGAGGACCTTCTCACCTTCTACCGCGGCGACGAGCCCGGATGGGTCCCGGGTATCTTGCCCGGCCCTCCTCCCGACGGCGACTACTACTGGTGGCAGGGCGGTGCCATGTGGGGGACGCTCCTCGACTACCGCCACCACACGGGCGACAAGACGTACGACGACATGACGAGCACGGCCATCTTGTTCCAAGTCGGTGACGATCGCGACTTTATGCCCGCCAACTGGTCCGCGTCCATGGGCAATGACGATCAGGCCTTTTGGGCCCTCTCGTCCTTGGTGGCGGCCGAGACTGGTTTCACGGATCCCCCCGAGGACCAGCCGCAGTGGCTTTCGCTGGCCCAGGCCGTCTTCAATGAGCAGACGCACGAGGAGAGACGAGTGCCGGCGGGCAGCAATTGCGAGTGGGGATTGAGGTGGCAAGTGTACCGGACAAACAATGGATTCGACTACATCAATAGTAGGTCAAGCTGGAGAGAGAGGACACTCGGGATCGGAGAGGATTTGCGACTGACTTGTTTCGTACAGCCATTGCCAATGCTTGTTACTTCAATATTGGAGCCCGTCTGGCTCGGTACACGAACAATGATACCTATATGGAGCTTGCGGGACGAACCTTTGACATTATGGAGAAGCTGGGTTATGTCGATGCCGACTGGAACGTTTACGATGGAGCTCATTTGCCCGACTGTACCGATATCAACAAGGCGCAGTTTTCCTACAACTCTGCCATGTTGATGCAGGGTGCAGCTTTCCTGTACAATTATGTGGGTTTGGCTCCATGTTTTGACAATCGTAAATTCCCACTAACAAGATGGCAGACAAATGGCGAGCAAGTTTGGCAGGACAGGGTTCAAGGCTTGCTTACACGCACGATCGAGGTCTTCTTCCCCGACGGTATTGCATTCGAACCGGCTTGCGAGCCCGGCAACTGTAACGCGGATATGCGTTCTTTCAAGGGCTTCTTGCACCGCTGGATGGCCTCGACGGCCATGATGGCACCCTTTACCTACGACACCATCATGCCCGTGCTCCGGACGTCGGTCGAGGCAGCCGTCAAGCAGTGCACTGGCGGCGACAATGGTCGATTCTGCGGCTTCCACTGGACGACGGGCACTTTTGACGGCAAGACGGGTGCCGGCCAGCAGATGAACGTGCTCGGTGGCCTGACCTCGTTGTTGGCAGCCACGCCACCTCTTACCAACACCACCGGCGGAACGAGTGTCGGCGACCCGAATGCGGGTAGCGAGGAGTCGACCTTGACGCCACTGGCTGAGATTACGACTGCCGATCGGGCTGGTGCTGGCATTCTCACCTGTATCATTCTTGCCAGCAGTCTAGGCGCTTTTGCTTGGATGAATCTTGAAACAATGTGATTATTTTTTGTTGTTATTAATCGAGTAGGGGTCATGACTGGGGATAATGAATCTGGGGTTTTGGGGGCTGTTTACAGAAAGGCGCATCATTCGGCGTTTTAGGAGAAAGAATACCAGACATGCGTGCTTGAAGAAGGTATACCAACCAGCAACGAGGGGCCATTATTGAAAATCATGTCGGAGCCATGAGGAGTATTGGTAATTTCTGAACCATTATGGTGGTCTGCAGACTTCTTTCTTCTTCAGATCTGCTTGAATACAATCTATTGTACCAATAAAACAGAACTTTTCCTACTTGCTGAAAAACTGCTCAATCTCGACCTCAAGTAGCCATGGAGGGATACGTCCCATCAATCAATGCCTAGAAGGGATACTTTACTTGAGCTCAGGCGAGTCACCAAAACACTTGGCCATCATAGCCGGCGGGTAACGTGCGCCCTTTGATCCTCCAACGCTCTCGATAGCCTTTCTAATCTTGGTAACCTCGTCAGGGGTCAATTTGACATGGACGGCCTGCAAGTTCTCCTCCAGGTACTTGACCCGCTTGGTACCCGGGATAGGGATGAAGTCTGTCAACGAAATTAGCACTTGAAAGCCCAAACTTTCATGATTGGTACGGTATCAACCAACCTTCACCTTGCGCCAGCACCCACGCGAGGGCGAGCTGGCCGGGCGTGACGCCCTTGTCCTTTGCAATCTGGGCCAGGGTCTCGACGAGCTGGAGGTTGCTGGCAAAGTGCTCGTCGGAGAAGCGCGGGTGCTGGAAGCGGGAGTCGGTGGGGTCGAGGTCGGCGCGGCTCTTGATGGCGCCCGTGAGGAAGCCCCGGCCCAGGGGGGAGTAGGCGACAATCTTGACGCCGAGCTTCCGGGCCGTCTTGAGAAAGTTGGTCTGGTCCGACTCGATCTCGAGCGCAAAGGGCGAGTACTCCATTTGCGCCGCGGCGATCGGGTGCACCTTGTGGGCGCGCTCAAGCGTGCGGGCCGAGCATTCCGAGAGTCCCAGATATCGCACCTTGCCCTCCTTGACCAGCTCGGCCATGGCGCCTACCGTCTCTTCAATGGGCGTCTTTTCGTCTACTCTGTGCTGGTAGTAGAGGTCAATGCGGTCGGTTTGGAGTCTTTCCAAGGACTCGGCACAGGCCTTTTTGACGTATCTGGTGGGAAATGCATTAGCTACTCATTCTTGTCGTATAACTCATATATACCCCTCGTATATGAATGGATGGCTTGCAAGAAAGCCAAAAAGATATGTGCAAGGAACGCAAAGGTCATTCGATAACATACGCGGCATCTCCGAACACCTCCATCTTGCCATCAATGAAGCGATTGGCAAACTTGGTGGCCAAGAAGATCTCGTCACGCCTGCCCGTCGTGGCGAACCACTTGCCAATGAGCTTCTCATTGGTAAAAGGACCGTAAATGTCACTCGTGTCCCAAAAGGTGATGCCGCTGTCGGCAGCCTTGGTCAGGACCTTGAGCGACTCCTCGTCGTCGTAGCCTCCATACGATGTGTAGCCAAAGCTCATGCCCATGCATCCGAGCCCAATGGCCGAGACGGAGGCGTCTCCGATCTTGCGTTGAGGATATTTTGCAGCCATTGTGCGGTGGAAAAAGTATTTTGACAAGTCTTTTTTAGGTATATGAATTGGCTGATAATAGGAGCCTTTTGATATTGTGTAACTATATTTTCGCTTGACCGCCAAGCGAATTATATATGTTTCTAAAGGTGTGACAAATGTGACTCAACCGTTGCGTTGCCAAAATATCGTAACTCCTAACCCCGCCGCTCGCGACTTTCAGCTCTTATCGTCGCGAATCCCCCACCCCGCACCCGATTGCATCATTTCCGCGCGAGTATACAGAGAGGTCCCCAACGCCAACTGCCGACTATAGATAAGTTGGCCTCCGTCATCAATGGCCAAACATTGTTTTTGTGTCAAGAGCACATAAGCCCTATTTCCGGCTTATACCATGATTTCTACGTGTTTATCCCCGAAAATATTGTTTGATACTGGTATAAACGCCGAAAAAGTGTTAGCGATAGTGTATGTGTTGTGGATGCCGTACTTGTGCACGGCCAATTCCTGTGACCAAAATCCATGGACATAAGATTGGACCAGTCTCAGCTCTCATCTCTATGACATTAATAAGTGAGAGGGTATGCCCCGGCATCGCACAACCTATTTGCTCGACTGAAGATATCATCTTAGCAAAAAAGCCATATACAAAGCTCAAGACCTGCTGCTTTTATCAATCTCACATCTATCGAAACGCACCTGCATCAATGTGTTTGCGAGCGCAGCTGTCTATCGTTGGACATACAAATTAGAAGAAGTCCCTCAAAGACCAGCCGGCGAAGACTGACATATTATCTTCATCGCTCTTCATCACCCAAGCAAAAGTCGTCAGGTGCGCGACAGCCTGCCGTGCATGTCATTCGACGTCGACGTAGGTGCGAGAGTCACCATATTAGGTAAGCTTGCTCAAGCGATATCCACGGGGGCCTCGCTCGTCCCCCGACAAAAAAGGGGTTGTCGTTGTTTGCATGCAAGTTCCCAGTCATGACGACGATCACATTGCATTATGGGCAGACTCCATGCTCACAAAGTATGATCTAAAAGCACTGCGCCGGCCCGGGACCTTATGCCGGCTAAATTGCCCCTGCCTTCCCCATTTCTCCGCACTCCGCGAGAATGGCGGGTTGGTAGTAGCAGGCGTGGGGAGAGAGCTTTGATCTGAAAGAGACCTATGATTCTGAGAATCGCTTTGAAATGCTTGAGAATTTCCACTAGGAATACTCTACATCTTTTCAGAGGACTTAACCTGTGTTCAGAACTTGGAGTTCCCTTGCCACAATACTCTTCATCTTCGGCATCTCTTTGAACCCAATGCAGTTGAACTGCTCAAGACATATATTCTCTAGTCAACTTATACATTATAGATCTCAAGCCAAGACACTAACCCCAAGCAGATTCAATTTGGGCCCACGCGGGGAACCCCTGGTTATACTATAGTACTTTCCAAAGACCTAGCTTGGGTCTTGGAAGCCATTTCCCCAACATCTCGGTTGACTTCTCGCTGTAGTATCGTCGGGTTCAAATTACCCGCCAATCCGGGCCACAGCGACATGAGCATACTCTCCAGGATTGGACTTCTGAGATGCAGATCTGGAGGACATGGTCCCCTTGGAGCCTTTGCCCGCGTAAACTGGTACGCCGGCAGGGCGGTCTGAGTTTTCCCCTCACGAGACTCTCATCATGAGGAGATGATGTGGAATTGGAGCTAAACCCCCTACCTAGCAGTTTGGCAGTTTTCCCGAATAGCCTACAGTGACTTTTTGCTTGGCCAGCGGTTCCATTCATTTCCAATACCAAGGTTCCAGCAAGAACTGCACATGTACTCACCGTGCCATGGGAACAACCGCGGATACCACCCTTGGGGTGCATATTTATTTAAGGAGCTCGTTCCCATGTGGGAGATGACGTCCCCCCATGTGGACAAGCTCAAAGGTCCTTTGATGAGACCAATCGACCTTGGTTCGCGAAGCCATTGCCCAATAGCATCGCGACAAGATGTATCGCAAGCAGCTCGGGTCTCTTTTCTTGACCACTGCGGCTGTGATCGTGCCCGTGGTGACGGGACTCGGCCAGCAGCCCGTCATCAGCTTCACCAGCGTAGATGGCGCCGTTCAGCTCGCAGGCGGCTCTATAGCCGCGCCGCAGATTCTGGTTGCCGACAATGAATACTGGGGCGTCATTCGCGCCGCTGGAGATTTGGCCAAGGACTTTGGTCGTGTCACTGGGACAAATTATACGCTTAGCAATGGCAATGCCGATGCGAGCCCTGCGTCTTATGAGTATCATCCTGCTGCCGCAAATTTCACAGTGGTACGTTTAGCTTCTCTCCTCACCATAATGACCACCAACTCACCCTTTGTAGTACTCGACCAATGGCACAGCATATTTTTCAGGACCCGAATACTCGGACCCCTCCGCCGCCGATACCGTAATCATCGCCGGAACGATCGGACATTCCCAGATCATTGACGACTTGATCGCAAGTGGCAAACTTGACGTATCAGAGATTCAAGGTCAATGGGAATCCTTTGTGTCAAAAGTGGTAGACAGCCCAATCAACGGCTCCGAAAGCGCCGTCGTGATTGCCGGCAGTGATCCGCGCGGTGTCATCTTTGGTCTCTACGACATTAGCGAGCAGATTGGCGTCAGCCCGTGGTACTGGTGGGCAGATGTACCGATTCGACAAAACAAGGACATCTGGTTCCTACCAGAGGGCAAAGTCCAGGGACCACCTTCGGTGAAATACCGCGGCTTCTTTCTCAATGATGAACAACCTGGCCTGTCTGGGTGGGTGCGTTCAAACTACCCAGACACTCCCTTTGGAGATGGCTACAACAAGGACTTTTATGCAAACGTCTTTGAGATCCTCTTACGACTGCGCGCCAACTACCTGTGGCCGGCACTATGGGGCACCATGTTCGAGGTCGATGATCCTGCAAACCAACCTCTGGCTGATGCATGGGAAATTGTTCTGGGGAGTTCCCACACTGAGCCCATGATGCGCGCTCAGAATGAGTTTGGTACCTTTTACATCAATGAAGGTCTCGGCCCGTGGGCGTACAACTTAAACAACAAGACAATCGACGAATACTTTGTGTACGGCGCCCAACGAGCCAAGCCATATGCGCGAAACAGCCTATGGACCATGGGCATGCGCGGCACGGGCGACACGGCCATTGAAGGCCTGGGCAACCAAGCCATCGTGAGCATGCTCGAGACGTTGGTCGCACACCAGAGACAGATCATCGAGGACGTTCTCGAGACCGACGTTACCGACGTGCCGCAAATGTGGTGTCTGTACAAGGAGGTGGCGAGCTACATTCTCGACGGTCTCGAGGTGCCCGACGACATTACGCTGCTGTGGGCCGACGACAACTGGGGCAACGTGCGCCGGGTCCCGCTCCTCAACGAGACGGGCCGGGCCGGCGGCGCGGGCGTGTACTATCACTTTGACTATGTCGGCGACCCGCGCAACTACAAGTGGATCAACACGATTCAGCTGCAAAAGACGGCCGAGCAGATGCAGCTTGCCCATGCTCACGGTGCCGACCGCATCTGGATCGTCAATATCGGCGACCTCAAACCGCTTGAGCTTCCTCTCAGCCACTTTCTCGATATTGCTTATGATGCTGACAAGTGGGGTGTCGATAACACGACCGACTGGCTCACGGCTTGGGTCGCCCGTGAGTTTGGCCCGGATTTCGCGGAAGAAATCACCGATGTTCTCACGCGGTACGGCATGTACGCTGCACGGAGAAAGTATGAGCTGATTGAGCCGTACGTATATTCAGTCGTCAACTACAACGAAGGAGATGCCATCTTGGAACAATGGGACGCTCTTGCTGCGGATGCGCAGTCCATTCATGACAAGCTGGATGAGAATGAACAGGCGGCCTTCTTTGAAATGGTCTTGCATCCGGTCCTTGGTGGGCAGATTGTCCACAAGGTGCATATCGGCGCTGAGAAGAATGCCGTCTATGCCAACCAGCACCGAAGCTCTGCTAATGACGTGGCGATGCAAGTTTTGGCAGACTTTAATGCCGATGGGGATTTGACGGCGCAATGGGATAGTCTGTTGGATGGCAAGTGGGAGCACATGTTGGATCGTAAGTCAAAGACAGCATTCATATCATAACAAGAGCTAACGAGGCAATCCAGAGACCCATTTTGGTTACGATGGATATTGGCAACAGCCAATGAGGAACGTTGCCCCGGCCTTGTCCTTTGTCCAATTCGCAGTCTCTGCAGTCTCGGGATCCGTGGGTATAGCAGTCGAAGGACTCAATGCCAGCATTCCCGGCGACGACAAATACCACACCAACTCTGGAAAATACCTGACACTGCCACCACTCGACCCCTACGGTGTTGCCACGAGATGGTTCGACGTCTTTTCCCGAGGCACTGTATCATGCGACTGGCAGGCAGAAACAGACCAGCCTTGGGTCAAACTCTCTCAGTACAGTGGCACGGTTGGGCCTAATAATGGCACAGATACTCGTGTTTATGTGTCTATAGACTGGGCTTCGGCGCCGCAGATTGTCAACAACACTGTCAGCAACATCAACTTTACTACAGGATGTGGCCACAGCGGGTTTGCGACTTGGTACGGCTCCCCATATATACAGTTACCAATCAATCTCCGCAGTGTCCCATCCAACTTCACAACCGGGTTTGTGGAGTCTGACAAGTATATTGCCATTGAGGGTCCCAACTATCAGAGGATCTACACACCGTTGAGTAACACCAGCTCCGACGTCACGTACCATACTCTCAAGGACTATGGACGGACATACGGCGGTGTGACCCTATGGCCACAGGACGCCGACCAGGTAACACCAGAGACTGGCCCGGCGCTCGAGTACGACCTGTACCTCTTTACCAACACCTCCAACGTCAACGTGACGCTGTACCTCAGCCCGACACAAAACTACCTCTCGGACCGAAACCCGCTCCACTTTGCCGTGTCGCTCTTCCCAAGCGGCGGCGCCGCAGCGCCCGCAACCACGGTACGCTTCATAGGCGACAGCGTGGGCGCCGACCTGCCCCCATCATGGGGATACGCCGTCGGCGACGCCGTCTGGGGCCACCACCCGAGCCACAACACCACGACGCGGTGGAACGTGACGCAGGAGGGCGCGCACACGCTGCGCGTCTGGGGTCTGGCGCCCAGCGTCGTGGTGCAAAAGGTTATCGTCGACCTCGGCGGCGTGCGGCCTAGTTATCTGGGCCCGCCCGAGAGTTTCTTGGTCGGTCGCGATGTCGAGGGCGAGTTTAATGTTACGAGTTTTGCCAACCAGGCTGCGGTGCTTGGTGCGCTTGGTAGCTAGAGGGAGTAGGAGCCTTGATCCTCTGCGCTGTGCATCATGGCCAATGTCATGTTATGGTTCATACTCGTCGCCCATTGCGTTTGAAGGCGCACAATGTAGTCGTTGATAGAATAGTCGACATAATTTAATGTTTCCCTCCATGTCCATCGCACATGGTCGTTTCTTCCATGTGTTGCATACAGTATAATTACTGGAAATATCGTCCGTAGTCATCCGGGGTATAATCGTCATCGTGAAATCGTCAAGTAAATATAGCCAAAGAAATTCTTGTAATCGGTCGTCCCACCGTCGCATAGATGGGACGACCTTTGCGACACCAGCTTCCTCACACCCGCGTCCTTATCGCCATTTGCGCATTCTGACGCGCCTCTCTCCTCTGCAAATAAAGACCGACGGCGCAAAACACGGCCAGGAAAAAGCAGGCGCATCCAAGCATCGCACCACCATAGGCGTTGCGCTCGGCGGCAGAGAACTTTGTCAGACTCTTGGACCAATCCGGCATCGTGATGGCGCCGATGCCGACGAGTTCGGCTATGATAAATACCGCGATCACGGCGAGCGCAAACAGGCACATCATGGCCCCGTGGAAGCCCTCCTTGGCCGCCTCGACTCGGCGCCGGGCCCGGAGGTGCGCGCTAGCCATTCGGTACTGGAGTGGATAATGATACTTTTTAGGCGAAGATAGAATGGAAAAAAGTGGATAATAGAATCACTTGAATCGGTTGTTTAATTCTTTGATTTCCTAGTCGATATTAATTCAGAAACGAACAAAAGTCAATTGCGAGAGTGAGGGGAAGATGGAACAAAAGGCAGATCCAGGTTTCTGGCTCATCTGACACCCGACTCAAGATACGTCAGCAAAAGTAGTAGGTACCTAAGCATTCTGAGTATGTGTGACCGCCTGGAAACTGCCCACATCCTGGGGCTTGGGAGCAGGTCGTATAGGCTGACTGTGGTGGGTGGCTGTGTTTGTCTTCCTTCGCCAACCTTGGCGGCAGGGACGGCCAATGGTATCCCGCCATACTATGACTTGTCTTCGGGCTCGGGGTTTTCGGATCCTGCGGGCCCGCAACAAACCCCATCATTATTCACTGGATATGTCTCAAAAGTCAGACAGGCGTTTTCATGGTCGCACAAAAATGATGCTGAAGAGGCGCTGCAGATGGTTTCCCCATGGGATGACGACGACTGGGCTATACCAATACGATCAAACTGCAGACTATAGACTCGGTCTTAGTAAGGAATAGAATTGATAATGAACAAGGCCGTGCGTCAGTATCAAGAAATCGATCAGCGCAAGGTGTGCGGGAGGCAAGGCGTTTTGCGCCATTTGCGGATGTCCCTCTTGACTAAAAATCGGCCAAGTTCTAGCCATTGCCTTTTCCCAGTACATTCTTCCAAGCCGGGCAACTCGTGCACCTTTCCAGCCACGATGCAATATTCTTGTACTTGGGCGCCTCGTAGGGATTCGACTGGGCTTTTCAATCAATGTACCATTGCAGTGCAAAATCGGCTCTGATAGGCAATTTGCCGCCCATCAGAAAGTCAGCTCTCGAGTAGAGAGTCCAAGTACGACAGATTAGCATCAACCTCAGCGCTCAAAAAGGCCTTGTTGAGCATCGTATCCATGCCAGAGACGAAAGATTGGACCAAAAAAGTGCGTGCTGGCGACCAATGTCTTGAAGATGGATCGCAGCATGAGCGGGCCGTTGAGGGTCGAAATTGCGATTGAAACGATGGTGTCCTCCTTGACGGCGTCATCGTCTGGGTCGGACGATGGCGATGCGATCTTGAACTTGCCCGCAGTGTTGTGTGTCTTCATGAGACGGAGCGCGATTGCAGAGCGCTCTACAGTGACGCAGCCGGTTGGCGTAATGAGCTGCGGCGATTTGCCCAAAACATGCGTCTCCTTCAGTTGAGAAAGCGCGCGTTTCTTGACCCGCTCAAAGAGCTTGAGTTCAATCCAAAGTCGTAATCAATCTTGAGCTCCTCGATCAATCAGAAAATCGTCTCGAACTGGGAGTGCTAGAGGCGCGTTGGTAGGATTGCATTCGTGAATTGTTTTGACGCTCAATCTGACCTGGAGACGCAACAGAGTAGGTTTACGATTCCTTCTCCGACCTTGTACTTTTGTTGGAAGATTTCTTTGATGTGTTTCGAAAGTTCTGAATGGTATCGAGTTAGTCCACAAAGAAAGCAGTTCCATTCTTGGGAATAGCTGTCCAGTAGCCCTACGTCGGTGCTAATACTTCCGAAAGCGCTACGAACAATTCATATCAACCGCACATCTTGTTCACCTAGATACAATGTCTATGCAGGTGTGGTTAATTAGATACAAGAGAAGACTTTCGGTGGCATTCCTATCGGTGACACAGGGTCTGTTGCATTACGTCTTGACTGCATCGCGCATCTTTGCGGTCGCTGCTCATGGGAGTATCACCTGGCCTCTGGCGGGCCAATTGAGTCTATACTTCTGGAGCGTCCATTCGCCTAAACACCAAATCATGCGCACACTGCCCTACTTCCTGTTTGCAACCCGCCGCATTAGCCTACAGGACAACATTGAAGAAGTGCTTCCTGTCCTCTTGGTCAAGTCTACTGCTATCACGCTCAATTCGAGTATCAACCTCCAATCCTCGATCAATCAGCGACCATGTCCCCAGGTCTCTGTCCTCACCTGCTCGTTCAGCTAGCAACAACGTCTGTAATTCCTGGCGCCACAGAAGTGCGTTTTGACGATCTGTCTCATGTATCCAACTCCGAGATAGATAGCGAAATGCGGGATCAGGATCAGCTCCACGGCTCACCAAGTCCTGGACTATATCTGCCCTACCACATTTGATCGCTGTGGTAATGGGAGTGTCGACAAGAACACACTGATCATCGATATCCGCCATCACAGATAACGAGGTTCTCCCGTTACGAGACACAAAATTGACGTCTGCTCCATGATTCAGCAGCAGGGTTATGATATTTCGGTTAACTCCCCATATGAGCGCGAAAAACAATGGTGATTCGTGATCGTTTGTGCAAGTGTTGGCGTCAGCTCCATAGTTAATCAGTAACTCAACCATGTCCCTGTTCTTAGATATGATTGCTTGGAGAAGCGGAGTTAGCTGATTTGGAGGCGCGAGATTGACATCCACTCCGTGATCCAGCAAGATCTTGACCATTTCACAATCTCCGTCTGTGATTGCGTGAAGAAGCGGCGTTAGCCGGTTTGGAGGCGTGAGATTGACATCTGCTCCATGATCCAGCAAGATCTTGACTGTTTCACAACCGCCATTCGCGACTGCTTCAAGAAGCAGGGTAAGCTTATTCGGAGATGTGAAATTCGCGTCTGCTCCACGCTTCAGGAGAAACTCAGTTATCTCTGAGGCCTGCTGCTTGATCGTAAAAGTCAGAAGTGTCCCAATACAGGAAGGAAACTGCCCATCATTGCTCAACATGTATTCAAGTTTGACGTTAGTGATAGGATCCAACAGCAACTCAACCAAGCCTCGATCGTGTGATTCAATAGCCGTTAGAAGAAGTATCTTGATGTAGAAGCCCTGGGAATGGATGCAATTATCAATGTTGCTTTTAGCAGCATGTTTTAAGAGCACCTTCACCACAGCCAGGTTTCCACATTCAGCCGCCCGATGCAGCGCTGTATAGCCCTCTTTGTTCTTGAGTCTCATGTTGGCCCCAGATTGTAGAAGCAGCTTGACTATAGTTCCGCTGCATCTCCTTGCTAGGTGCAATGGAGTATTGGCTTGAAAATTCGAAGCATTGATGTTGGCTCCCCTATTCAAGAGAAAACCCAAGATGTCATATTGGGGGTCGCTTGCAGAGTCCAGAGGAGTCCCCCAAAAACTTGAAAGTTTCTCTATGACTCGATGCAATGGTGTATTAGCGTCGCGATCGAAGGTGTTGATGATCCTGTAGGAGATGTCGGCGTTTGATTTAGATACCCAGTCCAGCAGCGACTTTCCTATACTCAAATAGCCTCTGTCGCAGGCCCAGAAGAAAGCAGTTTTATGATAGGTACTGTCCGTCGCATATAAGTCTGTATTTGTGACATTGAGGAGCATTTCAACAGTCTCCTTCAACCCTAAAATAGATGCAACAATCAGGCTCGTAGGATTCCTTGGATAGTAGTACGTATCCATTGCCATTTGCCAGTATGTTTCAAACCAAGGTTGGACTTGCTTTGAGCTCGAATTGCACAGATTTCGTGATTGTGTGACTAGTATCTCGTTGACGTGACCCGCCCCACGGAAATGTCCGGGCCAGTTGCGCGCGGCATAATAGAAAAGCACGCCGTAATTTGAACCATATCGCTCAAGATAAGACATACAACTCTTTGCCATCACGAAATGGGAATGGTGGGGATGAAATGAATGTTCCCATCGGACGACGGGTCCAAGCAAAGCATTCTCTGGCGGTCTAGGTGATTCCATCACCAGGAACTCTTTGACCGTCTGATGAGCTAGGTACGCTTTTCCGCCTCGAAAAACCACCAGAAGTTTGGAAAACTCTCTTGTAAATTTCGTGTTACGGCTTATCGCTTTCTCGTCAACAGAAGCGTCTCCACTCATCGAGAAAGCCACAGCCAGCTCCTCAGTCAACAACGGTTCCGTGGCTGCCAAGATAATGTGCAGAAGTCTTCGAGTTTTGGCATTTGTCTCGTCATTTTGTTCTCTGCTCAGAATCTTCTCATAAGCAGCGCTGACAGTTCGCGGAAGTTGTTGGATCACAGTCTTCAGAGCGCTTTTTGACGTCTCGATTGTGTTTTTCAGAATGTCTATCATCAAAGAGACCCAAAGGTATGTGCGATTCTCCACTTTGGTCAGTTCGTTCTTGATGAGGTCAGTGACGTCCGGCTCGAGGTCGAGGTCCTCGCCTAGGTCGTCGACATTGTTTTGGATGACGATATCAATCTCTCGAGATATCTTATCCATCTCTTGCTCACTTTCTCCGCTCAAGTGAATGATCAGCTCCCTTTTTTGCAATTTACGAAGGCCTCTACTGATATCTTCGTAGGGTCTACTCGTCAACAGGAGCTTGAGGGGAGGGACCGTTTTTTCCATGTAGAGCTTTTCCAAGTTTTCCATCAAAAAGGACCTATCGTCGGCTGCACATTCATCGAAGCCATCGAGGATACAGACGAAACATTCCACAAGCTGCTTCTGAAAGATATCAATCAAGATCTTCCAAAGATCTGTGCGAGAGTTCAAAAGTTGACCGTCCTTCTCAAATTTGGACAAAAGGTTCACATCCAGTAGGGATAGGTTTTGTTCAAAGACTTGATGCAACAGACATCTGAGAGAACTCAAAAGCGTTTTCTGATCATCTAGATCGTCCTTGAAAAAGAAATAGCAAGTCAAGTGTTTGTCAGTGGTTGGGAGGACGTCATCAACCAAGTATTTCGACAGGACAGATTTTCCGCAGCCAGGGTCAGCAGAAACCCAAAGAAGGCTGGCTTTCTTGCTTTGTTGCCATTCTTGGAATTTTGTATGGTGCTTGAACCACTCACAGGTCCCTTCGTCTCGTTTTGGGTTTCTGTCTTTTCTGTCTCTGTATGGCACCGTGGCGAGTTTGCTCAGAAATGCGCGTTTCCTAGAGAGCTTTGCGTCTGTAGTATTGCCAGAAGGCCCTATTTGAGCTACTTGCTATCAGTAATGGATCTACTATGGTGGATTGAAATGACTTACTTTGCTCGATTCCTCGGTGAGAATCTGCATCTCTGAGTCTTTGGCGAGTGGCGATTCGGTCCTGCTGCAATATGGATTCGTATACTTGGCGAATGAACTTTACAACCTCGGCGTCAGACAAGTTCCGAATGACTGATTCGTCACCGCCTATCAAACGGGCCTTGAGTGCCATATAGCACTCTTTGAACTTCTCAATGGGCAGGTGTTGCTTTGGGTATATCTGTAAAATGATTTTGAAGAACAGCTGGTGCAAGTCGGATGAATACAACGAGTTAATCTCCTGTTTGAGAACCAGATCGGTGGGATTGACAAAGGGTAGATAATCCGGCAGATCGCCATCCAGAGCAACAGGAATGATTCCATGGTCTAGACAGTCATGATCCTTCCTGATCCTCATGAATGCGATTTCCGTCAAAACATGATGGAACCATGCGCTTCCATTCCTAGCGTTCTCTTCGACCATTGCACGAATATTACTCTTCAAATGATCCCTTGGCTGGCCCTGGGAATCCCTATATGCCTTCGCCACGGATTGGACATATTGTTCAGCAGCAGCATTGACACAGTATTGTCGCAGCACCTCAGAACTGAAAACGATAACCTTATTCGCATAGGTCGGCTCGTATGTGTTTTCGCGGTCATCATTGCGAGGTAGCAGACGCAACTGACTCGACAGTATGTTTCGGATTGCTGCATTTTCGTTTTCATCCCCTAGTCCATGACGAGGAAGAAGCGGTGTTCTGTCAGAAATGACACGACAGCCTGCAGCCTCGAGCCATTTAATGATTTGAATCACACACCAAGCGTGGGAGGTGCCAGCGACAGGATTATCGTGCGCGTAGACCGGAAAAACGATCGGTTGGTTCGAGGATGAAAAAATGTCAATTTGTTTGAGTGACTCAAGGATCTTGTCGAAAAGAGAATCTAGGGCTGTGGCACGAGTTAGCTAAATGACAAAATCCTATTAATCAACCTAGAGTCTGCTCGTGTCTGTTTCGAGGTCGGATGTTGGGCACCAAGTCAAAGAATCGCCGTACACATACCGGCCTCAACGCTCAAATTATCTCCGGACGTTGGCTGCGTATCAGCGACAGACATTTTTGGCCGCTGCCGCCATCAAGCGGTCTTGTAGAGAGTACAAATCAGACTGAAAAGTTAGAAATGCAGGACTGGAGAGTTGCGAAGAAGTAATAAAGCGGCAGGTGCTGCGCAGGGCTGCGAGGGGCTGAGCTTACCGCCTGGAGCTGCTCGTTGATTCGGCGAGCAAGTCAACGATGCATCAAACACAGCCCTCGTGCAAATACATGCATGCATCGAGGCTCAGGACCTCGGGACTCCCTGAGGTGGTTCATTAGGACTCGACATCCTCCTCCCCATGTACAAAATCTCAACTCATAATTCAGGACTCCTTCTCTTTTCTTCTGCCTTCTTCCTCAAATCCAGAGTGTGATATGCTCTTTTCCAGAACTTTTTGTGAATGTTATTTCGCGTGTTTTGTTCTGAATATTCCAAACCCCCAGGGAAAAAGATGTTGACAAGTGACAAACCTGCCGTGGGTACCCACTTTTCAAGCTCAATTAGTGCTCCATGGACCCCTATAGCGTATATCATCTCTGGGGCTCTAGTGCTAGCTACAGAAGGCTTTTTCCACTTTGACAATGTCTGAGCTCTCTCTATACTGATTGGCTTGATCGGCTCGAGCCACGAAGGAAGCCCGTCGACTTTTGACATTGATGCCAACCATTTTGGCATGGGATGGGACGTCGCGGTATTTTGTTTCTCTTGTGCTGCATTATTCGATACCCATGCACTCAAGTCCGACAGATTCTGGCAGTCTTCTTCCAAGTCCACATTGGCGTCAGTTTCATCCACAAAAGGGCCTCGGCGGCCAACAATGATCTGCGCCCGCGCGAAGGGGGTCAGGTGGAAATCGGAGGTCTCGGGCTGCCTGGTCGTTCCGGCGGCGTAGATGTTCTGTAGCATACCAATTGCTCCGATACCGATCATGAACCACGTCCGCTCTTTTAATCCAGACACACTGATGAGTAGAAGACTCCACAACATTGCCAGTATGACCGTTATCCATCGGATTCCGACTCTTTGAGAAGCAGCGATACCAGTGGCGAGGCTTTCCAAGTCCCACGAACCCTTGCTACTTATAAAGACCATGACATGACTATGGCCGTTACCACGGGTTAAACATGTCACTTTTTCCTTTTCTAGTCGGCGACCCGCCCATTTCTCTTCGTTCCACTGAGGTGAAGCGCAAGTTAGAGCGACAAGCACGTTGCCGCCGAGGGCAACAAGCAAGACTCCCCAGTCGTTGTACAGAGCCAGGGGTATAATTGCAATCCCAAGCTGTACAAGAAGTGTTGCCCATCCAAGCCACCACACGAAGTCTAGGTCAGGCCTCGACACGGGCCCGACTTCAAAAATGTCAATCCTGATACTGGTATGCGGAGCACCATCATCAGGAGAAAACTCGTGTCTACATCTAATCTCATGGTCGCGGAGAAGTCGGCCAAGGGCCCATGACTGGACTTCCCGGGCAAAACCATTCGAGCAGTTGACAAGCACTGACGAGATTTCATTTTTGGGCATCAATCTCATTTCTCCAACCGCGGCGAGGAGACTGGAGAAGCCATAGGCAACCCAACCAAATGAAAAACAGACGGGAGCGACTGGGACAAAGATCTTTGAACCCGGTACTCGTATCGTAAACCCCGTTTGCTGAGCAATTGCAGTTTGCACAATGTCGCCGCCGATGAGCAGAAGAAGGCTGAGAATGTCACTGGGCCAGCTGAATTGCTGGCGCAGCTCATCGGCCGTGCTGGCCATGGTGCAACCGACTTGAATCACTTCCAAAGGACAAGAGTGCAAAGTCGTGGGAATGATTGAACAACATCACAAGGAATCAATCTAGTGATGAGTAAGTAACGTTCTAGACTGGATAAGATGGCTCATTCTTTGAACTCAGGTGCTCAAAATTCAGGCTGAAGGATCATAATGCTGCGACGGTCATCGTTGAGGGAGCTACCAAGTGGTGACTGGGGTTTTGCTGCAACGCCCCGCTGTCGGGTTCTACAACAGAAATGTATTAGCGAGCACTGCCCCCTCAATCCAACGACAAGGCAGCACGTTCGTTTCGATCTTTTTGATACACAAGGTGTAGAATGTCTTGGATTTGAACTTTATTTTGAGCTGCTATTTGCGGCACTGATGCACTTGCTCCAAGAATACTGAATAAAACAGATTTATCAGTGCTTTTGGATCCAATCCTCCACGACAGCAGCGATTTCTAGATTGTTCTTCTCCACGTGCATAAAGTGAGAGTTGCCATGGATGCCAATATCGGCAAGCTTGATGAAATCGGGATTGCCGCCAACTTGCTTGAGATAGTCGACAATGCAGTGGTCATATGTAATGTGCACGCTGGCCTCGCTGGTGACCATGAGGTAGGGGACACTGGCAATCTTGGGGAGCTGTCGTGCCGGCTCCTTTTGGCGGTAGCAGTTTCGTTTCGCCAGCGACTCTTCACCGACAGATTCAATCTCGAGTTCTGCAGCATGTTGTTAGTCCATCTTTGTTCATCGACGGTCATGATCAGATGTACTAGACCATAGTATACGTACCTGATGAATTGGAAATGGCGGGCTCATAGTCAACCGCGGTCCATGTAAAGCCGTACGGCGTACTGGCAGAGCCTCCTAATCCATACCCGTAGCTCCAGAAGGGCACGCTGGCAGCCTCAATATTGATGCTAGCAGCGATATACTGCGGACAGTCATTGCTCATCAAGATGGGGAACCGCGAGCCGAGCGAATGCGAGATGATGTAGGCATTGGCGCCGAGAAGCGCCAGTAGCTGGCAGCCAGCAAGACGCATGGCATTCTCCTGAGCAATGTAGCTCGAAGTCAGGGGAATAAAGGTCTTCTTGAAGTTGTCAAAGATGGGGTCCCCGTTCTGTCCCGAGCCCGGCCATTGTGTGTGCAGCACGGCCTGGGGGTAGTAGTTGTACAGCTCGACGGCCGTGAAGCCAATCTCGACATTCTCGTTGGAGGTTCCGGCGACCATGGTGAAGCTGGCCAAGTTATTCTCGCTGCTGCGTCCTATCGAGTTGGAGTCGACCAGATATACGACATAGCCCTTTCTCGTGAAATACGACGCCCAACCTTCACGTCCATCGGGCGTATTGAGCCATGTAGAACCCGCAATACCGCCTCCATGAATAAACACAAGCGGATTAGGCTTGTGGTTGTTACAGAGAGGTGTCAACTTTTCCACGTAGAGCTGATCCACCGTCAGTGTGCCGGTGGTGGCATTAAGTGACCGGCCGCCGACGTAGAATTGATCACGATGATACGGCGCCTCGGATGATTTGCAATGGATATTGATGGCGTTGACGCCGGTACAGTCGACGGTTTCCTCGGCCCGACGGGTGGCGTCCTTGACGGCGGCAGCCCAGGCGCCGACTGCGAGGGTTGCACATACGAGAAAGTTGACCATTTTGGGCAGTGTTATTAGAATTAACAATAAGATATTAGAATAGTCGGGTAGCTTTGGCGTTGAACGAGCGTATTGCACCAAACAGCGTCCTGAGGAAAGGAGTGAAATGTTTGGCGCAGAAGTTTGAACCTGAAATCATGCCCGGTCCAAAGGCGACAGTCGGACCATTTTTCTTTCTTGAAAAAAACTGGCAAATATCGGGACCCCGAGATATCGTGCACATGTTCAAGCAGTTGGCAAATTGCTTGCATGGGTGTTTGTACATGCTCCACGGGTCTATTGGAGCAAACCTGCAATGAGTCTCCGGGGTCAGAGGGATATGCTGCTAGGATTGAGAACTGGGCCCAGTTGCGTCCTCCTCCATGAGCGTATTTATATCTACCCAATTGACCTTTTGAACCACTACAGGTATACCATCTGTTCGAGACTTGTGTTTCTGTATAAAACGTACATTGACTGACAAGATGAAAAGACTTGGTAAAAGTAGGCGACTGCAGGTAATTTTCCCGGGAGCGACAACGCAGTGTAGGCAGTTTCTGAATACGCAAAGAACCCTGAAGATGCGTTATTAGTGTTCACTCCATACTCTAGGATTCTGTGCTTGGCAGTCAAGGGCGCGAGCCGCCTTGTCGGGAAGAATGCAGGGTTCAAATGCTTGCATAGTCCACTGAATGCAACCGACCGTTGGCTAATCCCTTTTGTCTTTGCGTCAAATACATGAATATTTCTCCATCGTAGTGCAGATTTCATCTCGTCTTATTGTCGGAATTTGACCCGATATCCGCGAGCTTCTGGCTGCTATTATGGGCAACGTTATTGCTCGGAGCATCTGCACCATGTAATGGCCTTATAGCCCCACATGGTAAAACACTAATTAGTGAGTAGCGCCCTGTATTCTAGACCAACAGCGCTGGAGTTGCGCCTGTGACGAGTCACGACCCCCTCGCAGCTATCTTCCCAACTAGGATCCAAGAGCAGCAGCATAAGACCGATATCCAACACTTTCATCTCTTGTCTGCCGGCACCAGCCGGATCATCCGATCATTTCCCCAGAACTAACATTCAAGTGGACCGCTGCTGGTGCTTGTATCCACTACCTAATCGTTGGATCAAGGACAAATAAAGTAGCCCCGTATCGAAAATCTCGACCCCGGACAGCATCAACCATACGTTTAGGCGGTCTGGTACCGGATGTCGGGTCCTCAAGTGATAACAGTGGCCTCGCTTCGCCCATCTATACAGATTAGGCAGTTCTACGAAACTCCTGAATGGACAAGCGACCCTGGAGTTTGATGTCCTTGTCCTTGTTCACAATCGAAAGTGTTCACTCAAAGCCGAGGCGGTCTTCTCGCAAGATCAATCTCTTTGCTTCAGCAGCCACAACATCGGAATTGTACGCAAGTCGAGCCCGAACCATGTCACCGGAGTTCTAGAAGTATTCAGAGCCTTGACCCAAGGGGCTGGAAGCGATGTTCCCTCGTCTCGTTTCTGCGGCAGAGTCGCGGTCCGTCACGCCACCAATACGGCCAGGAAGTTTTTTCAAGCCCAACTTGGCGTTCAGGATGCAGAGTTTAAAATTCAGTGATTAAGGGATCCCCTGCTTCATGACTACCGCCTAATTATGGAACGTTTACTTGGGTCGAGGTGTTGACTTTAGGCTTATTCAAGCTGGAACCTCCCAACTCATTGAAATCTCGTAGGATACCGTCGATGGTGGTCTGGGAACAACTTTGTCTCTCTTCGTCTGTTGTTTGTCCTTTATAGCGTCCAACTCAACAATGGAACTCACTGCTGGTGCTCGTGCTGGATCCGCATTCATTGGCAAGACTCCCAACAACCAAGATGACTTCTTCATCATTCGTGGTTGGTATCGGTCCTATGGTCTCTACACCGCCAACGCCAGCGACGGGTTTCTCTACGCCGCCAAAAGACCCGAACACGCGATAGACGAGTCAAAACAAACGTCCATAATTATTGGCATGCTCATTGTCATCCTCGCCATTGTGCTACCGACCATCGGACGGCTCGTCATCAGACTCAAGAATAATTCGACAAGGTTTGGCTCCGATGACTGGGCCATTCTTGTTGCTGCGGTACGAAAAGACTCGAAATCAGATACAACCCGAGGCAGCATCCAATAATGCCATGAACATCAAATCTAACCATCAATGATAGTGCCTCGCAGTAGTGTACCCCTGCCTCCAGATCTCTACAGTCATCAACAACGGAGCGGGTCGGCACATTTGGGAAAGCACATATGCCGACTACAATACATATGCCTACAATTTGGGCATATGCCAACTCATCTTCTTTATTTCCGTCGGTCTCATCAAGGTCTCGATTACCCTTTTTGTCAGACGGTTGGCCGACGGAGCATCGAAGGCATGGAGGATCTTTGCCGACGTGTTCTTGGGAACACTAATCATCTATCTTGCCATGGCACTTTTTTGTACGTTTCAGCCCATTTACTTGTGGATTCCAATTAATGAACGTCTTGAACAGGGTGGGTGTTTAGTTGCTCGCCACCTCGCGCGCGATGGGACAAGTGGTATGCGGGCAGCTTGACCGACCCGGCGCACTGCGGAAACCTCGTCATCCAAGCCAGAACTCTCAGCATTATACATGTGATACAGGTACCAGATCATCCTCATGTTGTCATATGTGCGCACAAGTTGCCTTGCTGACCAAGCTCGTAGGGCTTCATTCTCCTCATGTCTCCCGTCATTATTCTGTGGCACATTCGTATCAACCTGGCCAAAAAGATCCGCCTGTTTACCATTTGGCTTGTCGGAGGGATTTCTGTCCTCGGGGGTTTACTCCAGCAGACAACCACGACTGTCACCAACGACAATTTCTGGGAATACACCGTGATACTTCGGTGGACGGCGCTGGATCTCGCGCTGGGGATTATGGTCGCTTCGCTTCCGGTCCTGGACACCGCCATCATGGGCACGTTCCGTTCATCGACGAACAAGTCTGCTGGATATTCCGGCTCCCATCCCAACCCACGCGGTGGTTCGAATCGCTGGACGGGCCATCGAGGCAACCTGGTCGCAAATCAAGCACCAAATAATGACGACACGGAGTCGGTAGAACATATCATGTTAACGACAAAATCTGCAAATAGATGAATTTGACCATTTATTGGAAGGGAACCCCCTTCAGTCTCGTGTACGATCGAAAGTGTTGACATAAGAAATAAAATGGGACGAATGCCTAGAGAGGGTAATTAGAACGGCAAAAGGGAAAAGAATTTAGGAAAGAAATTTGAGAAAGAAATAATGCCTTCTTAACCGGTCACGCCCTCGACGTTTTACGACAGATGATACTACATTAGGATCTGAGCTGCTTTTCGGTGAGTTTCTCAACATCATCCCGAGTGGTCTGGTTCAATGATTGCGCTCTGCAGTGCGCGTCCTCGAAGCCGTGTAGCTTAGTTGGCAGCCTCCCCTCTCCTCCTTCTCTAGCATCTCACCTCCGAGGACTGCTGTGCAAAGCTCTGGGAATCCTTGAAATTATCCCTCTAGCTCAACTCTTCCCGCCTGACTCTAGAGAACGTCGATCCTCCCTTGGGCCAGAACTCTCTGGACTGGAAAAAGGCCACCATGCTAGGTAGTCCAAGCATTTCTATCTGTTCGTGGACCAAAATGGCGGGAAATCTTCTAATAGCTTCAATATGGCTGCGCGTGACTCCTCTGACCAGATGCCCAGTTCGGGCTGAGGTCGTCGTGCAGTAGTCCGGGGCATTGCTCGGGCAGCGGCTGTAAACTGCCAATAGAGAGTCTATTGTATTCATTGTATCAGCTGCTGCACAAGAAACGGGAGGGCTTTGACTGGACGATATACTGACCATTCCATCAGGCATAAAGGCCAGTATGGTGTTTCTTCCGAATACGCCGCCGTCCAGGGCTCTTAGCGCGGCAGTCGTCTGGGTCGTGTGCTCAAAATGCAACCAGAACCAGGAGGTGTGCTGGTGGTTGTTGGCGTCTGCATGGGGCCAGATAAACTTGCATTGCATGACACCATTTCCCCTCAGGTATCCCTCGATTTCGGCTCGACTCGATATTGGAGGGAAGCCCGAAACGTGGATAAGTCGGCCGATGGAGAGCTCCATCAGCATCCGGGCCTTCCAGTCGTCAACGTCCTCGAAGACGACGTGAGTGTGCATGACTGGATGGATGTTTAGTACTGCGCTTCCAAGAATGAGGCCTGAGTGTTTGAGGGCGATAATGGATTATGCGCGACTTGTGATGGAGATACACACTGGCCGCGGCATATGGGATCGATCATCGATCCGACAAGGTTGTCGCTCTGTGAAAAGGAGACGCTCGGCGTCTGGTTGATGTCTGCAAAGTCGAGAGTGCAAAAGTCAGTGATGCCTAAATAACAGCAAACAGCCCAAAAAAGAGTTTTCACAAAAGTGACGCGCCAAACAGCTCGCGTCTAAATTTCTCGCGTTGCGGGTAGCATTGACAACGCGATAATGGGAAATTCCTCCCTGTCTTGTTCACATTTGCACATGGCTTGATGGTTTGACCACTGCCAATAATGCGCAAGACTGATAAAAGTCCCCCACGGTTTTCACGCAGAGAATGGTTCAGTAGTTCCTAGGAAACGATCAGAAAGAAAAGAAGAAGAGAAGCAAATGATACGCCTTTGATCGCATGACTGCCTCTGGATCAGCCATGCGTTCATCACATTTAAGTCATGATCAGCAAAGCCTTTTGCACTGAATGGACCATTGCGGCCAAAGCAGATGCTCGGCCATCTAGAATTTATAGACTCCTAGATTGCCCTCGAAAGCACTCGTGAATACATTTGGCTCTGTTTCGCCAGAAGGTGACCTTCATGCATCCAAAAGGTCTCGCGCGTTATCGTGTCATAATTCTAGGGGCTTACTTATTGACCTTCTTGCTCTTGAGTAGTGGAATATCATGCGGATGACGTCCACGTATTCAGCGTCAGCCATTGCCATGTACATATCCATGATACACAATAAGACTTCGTGAATATCAATTATCTTTTTCTTCTTCCTCTTACATCGCAGCTAATTTTATACAGCCAACTTGTCATAGCATCAAGGAAACAAAGTATGATGGAAAGAAAATTAAATGAGCACAACTCCTACGTGGTAGAGACAGAAGACTCTATTTAAATAAACTCCAGCAATCAAATTCATGTATTTGACTCATGTGTTTCTCACGAACAAACTTGATGACACCATGATTGCCGTGTTTTCAAGAATTTATTCATATATTGAGTCTACCGGGCTATGGTGGTATGGGTCGTATGCAAACAAGATAGGATTGCAGTTGGGCCGGAGCCTTATGCTGCTCGCAAGGCTTCCGCCATTTCACTGCAATTCTAGTCTTATGCAACAGCGCAGCATCGCAGAGACAGAGCTGTGCGCTCGTAGTCACCGATATGTCGTGGAGCTTGTACAGCCCGCTAGGAGCCCTTACCCTGCCCGTTGGCGGTATAATATCCATTTGGCCGTAGGTGGCCTTGATAGACACTTGTACGCGCGACATGATTTCTCTTGCTCACTTGAGATATATTGTACGACAGCCTGCGGTGTTCTGCAACCACAGCATTACGTGAATATCCATGCCAGAATGTTGAATTGTGTTTCGCCCAGCTGAACGTGCATCTCAAAAGCCAATCAGACACGCGGAGTGTGTGAGTACCCCGCCCCAGGTCGCTCTGCTGTCTATTGTCGCACAAGGTAAATGGTTATTATTACCTGTGCTGACCCCCCGCTTTATCGGGAGGATCGCGCGAGTTCACCAACCTAAAGTTGACGGAGCAAGATATCGATGTTGCCGTCGTCTAGTCGCATCGCTATACCATAATTTTGGTGTCAGTATCCGCGCCGCCATGCTTCACGTACAACTTACGGTGGTAACCGCAGCTTTGGCGCTCGTGGTTACCATTCTGTTCTTCTTTCTCTTCCACCGCGGTCAAATACCACAATCGTCGCACAGTTCACAAGCCGATCGCTCAACTACAAGGCATTCGATGCGTCGTGAGCTTGGGCTCGTTCAAATTTATCCCAAACAAGGCGAAGAGACTGAGACCGACGTCGACATCATTGCAATCCATGGCCTGGATACAAGATCGCCGGATACATGGACATAGAAGTCGGGACACGGGGACTCTGGCGTCAACTGGCTCTCTGACAATGGCATGCTGCCAAGTAAAGTTGGGCCTGCTCGCATTTTCACGTGCGATTGGCCTTCTGATCTTTTCGAGGATTCGAATTTCGTGCAAAAGACTTTCGACGAGTTCGCTCGACTCCTACAGGCACGTATTGAGGCGCTACCCCCGGCGCTGAATCAGGCTCAGCACCATCAACGTCCAATCCTCTTCATTGCCTCATGTCTTGGTGGCATTATTCTCATGAAGGCGCTCGTGCTGGCCTCCCCTGAGTACATCAAGAAAGCAGTACACGGCATCGTCTTCCTTGCCACGCCTTTTAGTGGCACGTCATTTCGCGATGTGGCCGAGTGGGCAGAGCCAGGGCTTCGAATGTGGGCCTTTGTTCGAGCCGAGCAAGTCTCCAACTTACTTCGAGAGACCAAAATGAACTCCGACTTAATAAAGCTTCGCCACGACTTCACTGCACTTTGCCGAGAGCACATGAATCCCGACTGCATGACTGCTTTCTACGAGAAGGGCAAATCAAGTCTGCCGCGTAAACTCTTCCCCTGGTTGCCCGCCTTCTTGGCCAAAGAGAAACCGGTATGAATAAGTAACAGTCGAGCGATTTACGAAGAAAGCCTATTAACGATTTTTTAGTTGGTGGGAGAAGAGTCTGCGAGCCTCGATATCGTGATGGACCGCCTCTCACTGAACCGCTCACACTTACTAATGAACAAATTTTCTGGTCCATTTGATCAGGATTATGTTCTTGTAATTGGACGCGTGAGAAAAATTCTCGGAAAAATTCGGGAGGGAAGAACGCTTTACATGGCAGATAAATGGATCAGCAATCATTGTTACACGACTGACAAACTTGCCATTCAGCGAATAGCACACACAGACGAACCCTTGGCAATGGAGAATTGCTTCATCAACCTAGTCATTGTCGAGACCCCTGGCGAATCACTCAAAATGGAGGAAGACAGAAAGTCATCTGCGCAATTTTCAATTCACGATCGACTTAAAATCCGAGAGCCGGACGAGGAAATGCAAGTCGATATTCGAAAGCTCTTCGACCCGCGCAAAGGGAAGAAATCAGAAACAACCAAACCTCGGAGGATTCTAATTCGTGGACACGCCGGTGTCGGAAAGTCTACCTTGTGCAAGAAGCTTATCCATAACTTCAAGGAACTTGGTATCTGGCGCGATATTTTCGCCCGTGTGCTTTGGGTACCTCTACGGAATCTCAAGAGACAAGACCATGAAAAGAAGAGCCTTCGAGATGTATTGCGACAAGAGTTCTTTCTGGGTTCCCCTAAGTCTGAGGACCTATCCCGTGAACTTGAAATGGAGTTGGAAGCTGACGGAGGCGAAAAGACTCTATTCATACTTGATGGTTTGGATGAAGTATATGAAGGTTTGGAAACAGACAACTACATGTACGAGCTCCTCTATGACTTCTTGAGATGGCCGGCAGTCATTGTTACTTGCCGCCCCAACGTCTCGCTGGCGTCTCAAAGGAACCTCAGTTTCGATCTGGAGCTAGAGACAATCGGATTCTCCTCTGAGCAGGTGAACTCATATATGCAGAATGTACTCACCATTCCTGGAAAAGTCCGTGGAGAGAGTATACCCGATGTTCAGAAGATTGAGAGTCTCCAATCGCTCCTCCAACAACACCAGCTTCTCCAGGACCTGATTCGTATTCCCATTCAACTGGATGCGCTGTGTTACATCTGGGCCGATGGTGACAACAGTCTACGTGATGGAACTGCACTAGGTACAATGACCAATATTTACCAAGCCATTGTGGAAAGACTGTGGAAAAAGGATATTCCAAAATTGCACTTTGAAGATGGCGAACGGCCAATTTCAAAAGTGGTTATGGAAAAGGCTTCCTTGAGAATGATTGAGCACGACGCACCTCGCAAGCAGTATCTCCTTGAGAGGTTTGCCTTTTCTGGATTCGTCGACAACGTTATCAACTTTGACCGAGAATATCAGAAAGCCATTCTTGAAGAGCACATGGACAAAAGCCAATCACTCCCGCCAAGTGAAGAGCCGTTATTATCGGCAAGCCAAACACTCCACCGTCTCTCTTTCTGGCGTGCCTCCAATCCGTCAGCTAAGCATCCCACATACCACTTTCTTCACTTGACATTCCAAGAATATTTCGCAGCGCGATATTTCGTTCGACAATGGAAAGCAAAAGAGCCCCTGCGACTCGGCAAGAACAGTGGTTCGAAGCGGACAGAGAGTTTGACAACTTTCTTGATGGATCATAGATACGAGGCCCGTTATGACGTCTTCTGGCGTTTTGTCACCGGTCTCCTCAGTCTGGAAGGGAAGGAAATTTGCAAATTCTTCAGCCTGGTTGAAAACAGCCCCCGCGACCTCCTCGGCCCTGTCCACGAACGACTCATTGTGCATTGCCTGAGCGAAGTTCCCCCAGATCAATTGTTCTTTTCTGAGAAGAGGAAAGAGCTAGAAATTCGTATCGTCGATTGGTTGATATTCGAAGACGAATTTGCAGGTCATACAAGACTCGCGAATGAGATAGAGGTTCCACTAGCATCTCTGAAAGCCGCGCTAGAGTTGGGTGGCACGGCAACGCGGATCTCTATTGTACTTGCACTGAGAAGCCGTCCTGCCTTACCAATCGAGTTCATCCATCTCGCATGTTCCTGGCTCGAGGCGGATACCGACCGGAAACTCAAGCTACACATCCTGGACCTGCTAGAAAGGCAGAAAGGCCCTCCGGATGACCTGGTTTTTGAAGCTGTTGTGGCGCTATTTAGGGATAGAGAGGAACGTGTCCAAGATGAAGCCATCTCCACATTTGAATGCTGGTCATTACCTCAAAATCAAATCGTCAGTGCAATCATGCCATTTGTCAAGGATAAAAAAAGTCGCATTCGATGGCCCGCTGCTCGGATACTTGGAAAATATTCTCGGCTCGACGATGAGATAATGGATGATCTCAAAGTGGAAATTGAAGACCAAGAGTCTGATATTCCAACAGAAGTAAGTTTGGACATTCTTGAAAGCCAGATACAATACAATAGGGATGTTCTTGGCTTTATTGCTGCGCAACTCGAAGACAAGTACCTTCATTGGATCGCTACCAATATTCTTCAGGATCAGCCCGATCTGGATGAAGACATCTTCCAAACGGTCATCAAGTTGCTTGAAAGTAGAGAAGAATTTGCCAGAAAGGCTGCCATCAAAGTGCTTGCCAGTTTGAATCGCCGAAAAGAAGAGGTAGAGGACATCGTCATGGCTCACCTTTTGAATCAAGATCCTGAAATACGGATAGGAGTCATCAAGGCACTCCGGGAGTGGCCAGAGCTCGACGTCAAAGTTCTCAACTTACTTACTGAGGCTCTTGAGGACAAGAATAGGGATGTGCGATTGGCATCAATCAAAAGTTTGGAACAACAACCTCATCTTAGTCACGATATCCTTGATGTTGTCCAGGCACGGGCCCAGGATCAGACGGAAGACGACCAGGTTCGCGGCCTTGCAATTCATACACTGATGGAGCGAAAGACATCTGTCGACGGCATAGATGAATTGGTGAAAACATGGCTTCGAGAAGAGAACTATTCCATCCAGCAGGAAATCATAGGAGCCCTAAGAACCTGGCCTCAGCCCAGCAATGAGATTCTCGATACAGTCCTGGAGCGACTTAAGGAAGGTGACCACTATGCTCAAGAGAAAGCACTCGATGCAGTTCGGAATTGGCCCCAATTTAACGATACCGCGCTCCATGCCATAGCCCGGCGGGTGGTAAGATGGGGAACAAAAACCAAACCAAACCAACCCCACCTAAAACAGACAGCCGTAAGGCTGTGGCCTTTATGTGGTTTTTAATTAAATAATATATAAAATTTTAAAATATATGGGAATAGTTTTAATTAAGAAAAACGATGGATTATTTTATATGCTAAACGCAACGAAAAATAAAGGCTTATAAGTCCTAAAGGGATTTATAAAGCTATTTTAAGCTAAGCCTTTATAGTTATTTTTAGTAGGCATTTTTAGCACTTTTATATTAAATCTCCTTTAAGGCTATTTATTAAGCCTTTTAATAATAGTATTATAAATTAATAATAGCGGTATTATATTATTTTTTTTTTTATTTATATTAAATGCTACGATTTGATTATTATTAGTTTTTTAAGCATTTTTTATTATTTATCGTTTAATATCGGTAATAAGCTATTTATTTATTTTTTTATTTATAACCGCTATATGCTTTTTAAATTCTTTTTATTTATTTTATCCTTATATATAATATAATAATAATCGATGCGTAATATTTTAATTAATATCTTTTTTTTATATATATAAAGTCGATTAATACCTACCGTTAATATCTCGGAGGCGAAGAAAAAGGTATTTAAAAGGATAAAAATTAAATATTATAGTTAAAGTATCGATAACGATTTTTTCCTTTTTTTTTTAGTTTATATTTATAGCCGGTAAAACTATAAATTAGATAAAGGCAGGAGAAAAAGGCTCGGAGGTAAGGGATTTAACTTTAAGCCTAATCGAAAGAGCAAATAAAAAATAGCGAATAGAATTAGCCCTTTTTTTTTTAATAAATTTTTTTAAATATTTTTTTAGCTTTTTTTTAAATTAAAAGACGGTATTTTTAAAAAAGGAAGGTTTGCGGTCCTAAGCTTTAATTAGGTTAAAAATAGCTTAGTATCGGGGTTAAATATATTTGCGTATAATATCGTAAATAGGACCGGTAGTCGTATTATATAGATTATATATTATTTCCGAATAATTATAATATTTTAAGCGTATAAAATTTTAATTAATCCCTAAATATTAAATATATAAATTTATTTATAGCCTTTTAATATTAGGCATAAAATATTAGTTTTTTTTTAATACGGATAACGGGTTATATAAAAATCGGGAAAATTAATTTATTATTTTTAGGTTATAAAATTAGGAATTAGGTTATCGAAGGATTTTAATTAAATTAACGCGGGTAGGATAAAAGCCGGATTTAATAGATTTAAATTTTTTTTATTATTTCCGAATTCGGTTAAAAAGGATTTTCGCTTTTCCTTTACGAAAGCTAAAACTATTATTATTAATAATATATAAACGTCGGTAATTAAGATTAATTAGCCCGCTAATTTAATAGTTATTAATATTTTAATTAGTAGTTTTTTGTGTATATAATATATTACTAATTAAAAAAAGGTATTTTGCACTTATATTTTTAATATTTTATTAATATTATATAGGTAGGCGATTTATTATAGTATTTTCGGGAAAATAAGCGATTATTTTAATTATAGGCTTTATTACGATTTTATTATATAAGTCCTAACGGTAATATATAAATAGCTTAAAAATAGTAGTTATTTTATCGTCGTTAGCCTATATATATTTACCTATTTTTTTAATTAATAATATTAGATTTTTAATAATAAATCCTTAATCGCGCTTAGGAATTTATTCCGGAGGCTTAGCATATTATTTAATTAATAAATTAATAGCCGTTATCGAATTATTTCCGTATTTAATAAAATTTATTATATTCGAATAGGCGGGTATCGAATATATAAATAATTTAAAGCTATCGAATTTGCTAAATAGGCTATTTTCGCTTTAATTAATATAAAATAGGTAAATTATTTTAAGCAGGTTATATAATTTTTTTTTATTTGCTTAATAAACCGCTAATGCTTAAACGAAATATAAAAAATCCGATTTAGGCAGTTATTTAAATTTTTTAGCTTTTAAATAATCGTTAGCTTTATATTTATTTATATTAGGTATTTAAGGTTTTAGCCGAAAAAAAAAATATAGTTAATAGGTCGTAAATTTACGGAGGTATTTAAAAAATAAAAAATGCTTAAAAAATAAATAAGTATTATAGCTAATAATCGCGGAATATATTAATTAAGCTTAAAATAATAAAAATAATATTAGCTTAGGTAAAAAAGGAAAGGGCGAAATTTGGAAATAAAGGTTAAAAAAAATAACAGGCAAAATAAAAAAAAAAAAAATTTTTTTATAATAAATAATTTATAATATAATAATAAATCTAATTTATATATTTTTTGCCGTAGTTACTATAAATAAATTATAACCTATTTTTAGAAGGCACGCAAATTATTTATTTATAAATAAAGCTCGGGCCTTTTTTAATTGGTTATAAAATATTATATTTATATATGCTTTTTTTTTCCCTATTTATTACTATAATTATAATCCGAATAGTAAAATTAATATTATTTTTTTATTTATTTAATTAAATTAATCTATTTTTTTTTCTTTATTTAAAATATTATTAAAAAATTCTAAAAAAAAAGGGAAAGGCAAAAAGCTTATAAAACCACTTTTTTTTTTTGCGATTATATTATTTATTTTCGCATTTATTATATTAAAAAGCCTAATTAAGCCGATTTTATTAAGGGCTTCGAAGCTTTTGCTTTTTATTGCGACCGGAGCCGTATTAACGTTTTTGCTAATTATTTTAATATTAGTAATTTATTAAAACGTAACGGTTTATATCGAAATTCGGAGCTTTTTAAATTAAAAAAGCCTTTCGAAAACCGCAATTTTATATATAACGCTTAGCTATTTTTTAATCCTAATTCTATTTTATTTAGTCGCTTTTTATTTAAATATCCCGAAAATCCCGAATATATTAGCCTTTATAATAATCTTTAAATATCGAATTATTTCTTGGCTAAATAGGGAAATCGCGGTCGTAATTTTAATTAATTTTTTTTAAATATTAAATAGTTACCCGCTCCTTTTTTTTATAATTTCTCGTATGCTTATTATCGAATTTATATATGCTTTTAGCCGAATTCGATCGTCGGTAGCTTTTATATTAATTTTTTAATTTAAAGTCTTTTTTATTACCGAATATATTATATTCGGAAAAAAACCTTTTAATATTCCTCGGTATTTTATTTCCTTTAAAAAGGTTATATCGCTATAAACTAACGAAGCCGAAAATAAAAACCTAAAGCGGGATCTAATAATTTATAAAATAAGTATTCCGGCATAAGCTTAATTATAAAAAGCAATATCCGGCTAATTTATTTAGGTATTTAAATACTTAATAATTTTAATTTATAAAAGTTTTGCTAAAAACCGCTATTTTTATTAGGAGATTATTAATTAAAAATTTTAGATAATTATATATATAAATATTATTATAATAAAATTTTTAAATTATAGCAAATTTAAAAAGGATTATCGCGTATATTTATTATTCGCGGAAATTAATAACGGCTCGCTATACGGTCGTATTTTTTATTAAATTTTTTAAAGACTTATAAAAGTATTTAGTCTTTTTATATAAATATACGGAAAAGAAAATATAGTTTTTTGCTCCGTATATAAGACCCGTTTTCGATTAGCGGAATTTTAGCATAATCGTAAAAAAGCTTATGCAAAAATATATCCGTTTTTAGGTTATTAATCCATATTAGGATTTTTAAAAAATTAGTATAGTAATTATATTATAAGTGTTATAGCATATAATTGCGAGTTTTAGCATAATTAATTTAGCGTTTTGCGTGCTTTATTTTTTTATTATAAAAAAAGCGATTTAAATAATTTAAATAATTTAGTATTAATTCGGTTTAAAGGAAAGCAATTCTAAAAGTTATAAAAGGCTATAAATAAAATATATGGAAAAAAGAATTAAATATAATATAAAAAGTTAAAAAAAAAAAGTTATAATAGGAATTATATATATTTAGTAATAATTAAAACGATTATATAATAAAAAAAAAGGTTTCGCGTATTAATTTTAATTTATAATTTCGGTATTTTATTATATTAAAATAAAATAAAATTTTATAAATAAAAAATATAAATAAAATAATATAAAAAAAAATATAATAAAAGGTATTAAAAAAAATAATTTTATATTTAACCTAAATATTATTAGGTATTTAATTAAGGAATTTAAACGTTAATATTTATATCCGATATATTATTAATAGCTTTCCCTTAATTTAATATTTTTTCCCTAATATATTATATTATTTATTTAGTTTATAATCGAATAACCGGAATATTTTATAATAATAATTTAGCTTTATAGTTTGCCGCTATTTAAAGGAGATTTTTAGTTATAATTATTATTTAATAGTTTTATTTAAGGTTATCGGCTTTTTAAAATTTTTTTTTATTTTTATGGAATTTTTTTAATAATCGATTAGGAAAGGATCTTTTTAATTTCGTACCGTCGATTTTTTTTAGTATATATAAAAATTTATTAAAGATAAATTTAATTAAATACGGCCCTTTTTAGTAATATTTGAGTTTTTATGCTTTTAATTTATCGATATATTTAAAAGAATTATATATAGTAACTAAATTTCCGATATATAATAGCGTATTTTTTTGTAATAAAATGCGTTTTTTAGATATTAAATACGTAATTTGCTCCTAATAATCCCGGATGACTTATTTAGTTTTAATTAAATCCGCTTTTAGTTTTATAAATATTTTAATATGGTTTTTTAATATTTTATTTTTTAATATATAAGGGTTTTATTTAAGGATTTTTTATATAGGTATAGCCGATTCGAAAGAAAGAATTAGATAATATCCGTATATAAAAAAAAAAGGGCGAATACCCGGTATAAGGTTATATCGAGATTTAATTAATAAATATAGCGAATAAAAGAGTTTTATTTTAATTAATACTTAATTTTTTTATAATAATTAAAAGTATTTTAATAATCGGTATATAACTTATTTTAATTAATTTTTAGCTTTAAAAAATATAAGGAGAATTTATACGCAAATTAATTATAAAATTATTAATAAGCTTAATTAATTCTTTTTTAT